ATCACCCCAAAAGGTGCAAAAACTCACCCAAATCTCTCCAAACAATGACCAAAAAATGACCCAAAATCTCCTCAAAAAATGATCAGAAAATGACCCAAAATCTCCCCCAAAAATGACCAGAAACTCAAACAAATCTCCCCAAAAAATGACCCAAAACTCACCCAAATCTCCCCCAAAAAATGACCAGAAATTGATGCAAATTACCCGCAAAAATGGCCAGAAATTGACTCAAATCACCCCAAAAAAATGACACAAAATAAACAAAAATCTCCACTAAAAAAGACCAGAAACTGACAAAAAATAACCCCCAAAACTGACACAAAGCTGACAAAAATCTCCCCACAAAATAACCAAAAACTCATCCAAAACTCCCCCAAAAATGACCAGAAATAGACTCAAATCACTCAAAAAAACCACCAAAAATGTACCAAAATCTCCCCAAAAAAGAACCAGAAACTGACTCAAATCACCCCAAAAAATGACCTCAAAACTCACCCAAATGTCCCCCAGAAAATGGCCAGAAACTGACCAAAATCTCTCCAAAAAATGGTCCAAAATTGACTCAATTGTCCCCCAAAAAATTACCAGAAACTCAACTAAATCACCCCAAAAAAGACCAGAAACTGAGCAAAATCACCCCAAAAACTGACCAGAAACTGACACTAATCACCCCAAAAAATGATCAGAAAACTGAAAAAAATCTCCCCAAAAAATGACCAGAAACTGAAAAAAAATAACCCCCCAAAATGACCAGGAACTGACCGAAATAACACCAGAAAAACCCCAAAAACTCAACCTATTGTCCCCAAAACATGAGCAGAAGCTGACAGAAAATACCACCAAAAAATGACCCAAAACTATCCTAAATCACCCCAAAAAATGACCAGAAACTCACCCAAATCTCCCCAAAAAATGACCAGGAACTGACAAAAAATAACCCTAAAAAAATGATCAAAAACTCACTCAAATCTCCCCAAAAAAGGACCAGAAACTGACAAAAAATAACCCCCCCAAAAAGGCCCAACACTGACCAAAATCACCCCAAAAAATGACCAGAAATTGACCCAAATCTCCCCCAAAAATGACCAGAAATTGACCCAAATCTCCCTAGAAAATGACCCCAAAACTGACCCAAATCACCCCAGAAAATGACACCAAACTGACCCAAATCTCTCCAAAAAATGACCCAAAAACTTACAAAAATCTCCCTAAAAAATGGTCCAAAACAGACTCAAATCACCCCAAAAAATTACTCCAAACTGACCCAAATCTCCCCGGAAAATGACCAGAAACTGATAAAAAATCACCCAAAAAAATGACCCAAAACTCACCCAAATCTCCCCCCAAAATGATCAGAAACTGACCCAAATCTCCCCAAAAAATGGTCCAAAACTTACTTAAATCTCCTACAAAAAATGACCAGAAACTGACCCAAATCTCCCCCAAAAAATATCCAACACTCACCCAAATCTTCCCAAAAAAAGACCAGAAACTGACTCAAACCTACCCCCAAAAATGACCAGAAATTGACTCAAATCACCCAAAAAAATGACACAAAATTAACACAAATCACCCCAAAAAATGACCAGAAACTGACCCAAAATTGCCCCCCAAAATGGCCCAGAACTCACCCAAATCTCCCCAAAAAATGACCAGAAACTCACCCAAATCTTCCCCAAAAATGGCCAGAAATTCACCCAAATCTCCCCCAAAAATGACCAGAAAGTGACCCAAAATTACCCCAAAAAATGACCGAGAACTCACCTAAATCTCTCCAAACAATGACCAGAAACTGACCCAAAATTATCCCAAAAAATGGCCCAGAACTCACCCAAATCTCCCAAAAAAATGACCAGAAACTCACCCAAATCTTCCCCAAAAATGGCCAGAAATTCACACAAATCTCCCCAAAAAATGACCCCAAAACTCACCCAAATCTTCCCCAGAAATGACCAGAAACTCTCCCAAAATTTCCCCAAAAAATTACCCAGAACTCACCCAAATCTCCCCAAAAAATGACACAAAAGTCAGCCAAATCACTCCAAAACATGACCAGAAACTTACCCAAAATTACACCAAAAAATGACCCAAAACTCACCCAAATCACCCCAAAAAATGACCAGAAACTCAAACAAATCTCCTCAAAAAATGGCCAGAAACTCACCCAAAATTACCCCAAAAAATGACACAAAACCTGATCCAATTCACCCCAAAAATTGATCCAGAACTGACACAAAACTGGCCCAAATCACCCCAAAAACTAACTCCCAATTGGCCCAAAATCTGACCTAAAAATGAAAAAAAAAAAAACCAAAACTGACCCAAAATGATACAAAATCACCCCCAAAAATGACCAGAAACTGACCCCAAAACCCCAAAAACTGACACCAAGACTTACTCAAATCACTCCATCTGGAGTCTGGCAGTTCTCACTGAAGCTCTTGTAGGGCTGAAGGCTGGGAAGAAGTGAGGCTCTCAGAGGACTGGAACCTTGTGGAACTAGTGGAAGCTCTTGAAAGGTGCCCGCTCTCAGGGGAACGGAGGCCTGGGGAAGGAATGCAGGCTCTTGGAAGGTGGAAGCTCTCAGAGGAATGCAGGCTCTTGGAAGGAATGGAGGCTTTCAGAGGGATGAAGGCTCTCCTATGGCATGGTCTTCTTGTAAGGATGGAGTATCTCTTACGGAATCGAGTTCTTGGCAGGAATGAGGATATTGAAAAGACGGAGGCTTGCCGACGGATGAGGGCTCTTGGAAGGACAGAGGTTCTCCATGGGAGCTGGCTCTTGGAGGAATGGGGGCTCTTGGTGGAGCTGGACGAGCTGCAGCAGGGCAGGTGGCCTCGCTCCACCAACTCCTCCAGGTTCTCCCACAACGTCTGCCACACCTCAGAATCCAGTGGGAAAGACATCCCATTCCCAACCCACACCAACATGACCAAATCCTGCAGCTCCTGGGCCACTGCCATGCAGGAGGTGCAGCTGGGGCCACAGCCACAGGGGATGTACTCGGGGCTCAAATCAGAAACTGGCCTGGCCTGGCTCCCTGGGTTCTTCGGTGTCCCCAGCACCCGCTGTTGCCAGTGGCCGATGGCCAGCCAGACAGCTGCAGTGGCCAGCAGCAGGACAAACAAGGAGAGGAGGATGCTGCCATCGCTCATGGCTCCAACACGGCCCATCATGACCACACTGGGAGCCAGGGGGTGGTGGCACTTCTTGTGTAGTGATGTCAGTCCTGTGGGAGAGGACACCTGTGTCATAACATGGCCCTGCCTCACCCCAGTGCTCACCAGGGCTCCATGGGGGAGAAAGGGGCTCCCTGTGGGTACTCGAGGCCCCTCTGGAACAGACTGGATGGAACATTCTCGGCCAAGTAGGACACAGTCATGAGGAGGAGAAGGAGGATGTTGTCACTGCCTCGCTGGCAGAGCATGGGACACGGCTTGTCCCATGGGACACTGAAGAGTCCTTGAGGAGGCCAAGTGCTGCTCAGCAACAACCAAACCATCCAGCTGTTATCCCATCCTGAATCCAAACCCAGGGCTGTGCCAGCTACTATGAAGAAAGTATCCCACCAAAAAGCAATACAGCAGCCAGTTCTTCACCCAGCACACCCTGTACCTGCTCATCTCAAAGCTGGATGCCTTCTCCAAAAGGATTCTGTGAGGGACGTGATCAAAACTCCAACTAAAATCCTCAAAAAGAACATGCACTGCCTTCCCATAACACATAAGCCAGGTGACCTTATGGCAGACGGATTTTTTTCTTTCCAGCTGCTTTCCCAGAGATTCATCTTTCTCCATCACCTCCTGAAGGGCCAATTGCAGCAATGGATTCATCTCCCTCTCCCTCCAAACTGCTTCCCATCTAACAGATCCCTATGAGCATTCCTTTTCTGGTTTTTCCTACAAAGCCTTCACTAAATCTTGCAAAGATCTCACCATTCCACCCTCAGATTTTGCAGTAGCCAGCACCTCCATTTGTGCTGCCATGAGGACCAGGATGGGGTTTCTGACATCACATAGGTGTCCCCACCCACAGTTCTGTAACATCACAGAGGTGTCCCCACACACTGGTGGAACCAATTGTGGGTGGAACTGCAGGAGCTGGTGAAGCGAGGCCACCTGCCCTGCCACAGCTTGTCCAGTTCCTCCAGCTCCTCGGAGCCTCCATCCCTCTGGGAGGCTGCTCCCACCAAGAGTCCTCATCCCTTGGAGAGCCTCTGCCCTTCCAAGGAAATCATTCCATCAGAGATCCTCCATCCAGCCAAGAATCTCCCTCTGCTGGAGATCCTCCTTCTTTCTGAGAGCTTCCTTTCCCTTTAAAAGCCTGCATCTTTCCAGAAACCTCCCTTCCTATAAGAGCCTCCATCCTTCCAAAATCCTACAGTCCTCTGAGCATCTTACTTCTTCTGTAAGCATCTGTCTCTCTGGGAGCCTCAGTGAGACCTGCTGGACTCCGGACAAACAAGACCCTGTGGACAGGTCTCCCTGCTCCCTTGGAGCTGCGGGTATCAATAGCGGAACTTGCTCATCCTTGAAGATGCACATGGCCAGGTGTGGCAGTTTGAGCTACATTAGAAATCTAAAATCCAATTTTTAGGCAAAGCACCCAGGTGCCAGCCCAGGTCCAGTGGTGAGGTGCCAGAACAAGCCTGTGCCACTTTCTGCCTACTGCCCTGTGCTCCCAAAATAAGGATTTGGGGTTTTTTTCAGAGATGCATCTGCTTTTTCATTTTTCTTCCCTTTTTTGCGAGTTGCCGACCCTGAATGCCTATCCAAGCCTCTACCTGAAGGCTTGGCAGGAGCCACGATCCTTCCAGCCAGGACCCCACCCTCAGGGGATTGCGAGAGTCCTGAGTCCGACGTAAGCAGGAGGCTGAGCTGGGCGTTATAATTTTCCCTTTTCGGGTAACTGCTAATTCACTAAAGCCATCACACGTTTTCCCCAGGAGCGGGAGGTCCCCAGGTCCCCACAGACTGTCCTGTCCCTCTGCCCACACCCAGCGCCATCGAGAGCTGGTGATCACCGCCCCCGACGCAGGGGGGGGACTTCTCAGGGCAGAGGAGATGGAGTCGCTCTGAGGGCTACCAGGTCCCACATCACCCGGGAAGGTTGTGGATGTTTGACACCTGTGGGTGTTTTCCCAGGTTATCGCCGTTTATTTAGGGGGTGACTGCTCCCACTCACGGCTTGTCCCGTAATGGCGGCTCCTCCCTCATCCTGGTTGTCATGAGGGGACATCGGAGCTCGGCTGGGGGCTGTAAGTATGACTTCCAAATGGCCCTGAATCCTTGAGGGAACCATGCCAGCAAAGTGGTGGCACTACTCCTTTCAAGGAGTTATAGAGAGCGAGAAGGTCTTTCCTCCAGGCTGAGCCCCCCCAGCTCCCTAAGCCGCTCCTCATCAGAATCGCGCTCCAGACCCTTCCCCAGGGGATCCCTTCCAGCTGCTGAGGCACAACTGCCGCAGTTTCGCCGGCAGAAAAGGCTTCTTGTCCCCGACCTTGGGGGGTATACTGTGCGAAACTGAAAGAGTTTTTCCGTGTGGCTGCCCTGTAAAAGGGGAAGGAACCATTTTTCAGGCACAACCGAAGAAAGCTGGAAGCCGCTGATCTGCCCGCGCGAGCGGCGGCTCGTCAGAGACAGTTCCCCGCACAGCCGGGAACGTCAGGGGCAGCTTCCCCGCCATTCCCTGCACGGCCGGGGGGGTCAGACTCGAGTCTCCCGCACTCGCCCGCACGGCGCCGGTCCCGCCCCGCCCGGGCCGTGTGTGCCCGGCGCGGGCCCCGCCCCGGAGCCGTCCCAGGAACGGCGGGAGCAGAAGCTGCGGCGGGCGCGGGGATGGCGGCAGCGGGCCGGCGGTGGGCGGGAGAGCCGGGACAGTGCCAGAGCCGGGGAGCTTGGGAGCCCGGGGACAGTGCCGGGCGGGACGGGAGCCGGGGACAGTGCCGGGCCGGGAGCGGGGAGCCCAGGGGACAGTGCCGGGCGGAGAAGGGGGAGCCCGGGGACAGTGGGGACAGTGCCGGGCGGGAGCGGGGAGCCCGGACGTGCCAGGCCGGGGCGGGGTGGAGGGCCGGCGCTGCCCGGGCGGTGGGTGCGGAGCGCGGCCGCCGAGGGCCGGAGGCGGACGGCCGTGCGGTCCCCGCGGGGCTGCCGGGGGGTGTCTGGCGAGGGCTCCCGGCAACAAGCGGCCCGTGTCCTGCCCTGCCTGTGCCTCTTCTGTTCCATCGCATGTGGTTTCAGGCTGTGTGGGTGGCGCTGTGGCTCCCGAGCGCGTTTAAAGCCTTTCCTAAGGCCGTGGACTGTGATTTCTGGTGTGGCAGAACTGCTGTGTATGTGGTGTAGAACCCATAAATAATAATGGCTGATAAATACTTTGTTAACTGACAGTGTAAAGGCCATTGCCATGGACCTCATCGACCTCACATGCACAACAATCACAGCACCCACGGGGATAAAGGTTTACCAGGACCATATCCCATTGTTGAAGACCCCAGCACCTGTGATATTGTCAAGGCTACACAGTAAGTACACATTCTGAGTGTGCCAAGTGGTGAAATAGATGGGAGTGTCCTCAAATGTGAGCCAGTCTGGATATTCTTACAGAGGAAACATTTTCAGTTTCATTTTCTCCCTGTAGTGGAAGAAGTTTTAATCATGCTCTGGGGCACATGGTCTGACTCTTGGGGATGCTCCTTGTGTAGGGCTAAGAGCTGGACTCGATGATCCTTGTGGGTCCCTTCCAACTCGACATATTCTGTGATTCTGTGAAGGAAGATCATTTACAGCTACTGTTGTAAATGTTTTCATCATAAACAAAGGTATTTCATTTCAAGCAAGTTTGTTAAGTAGAAGGTTTGTTAAGAGCCCAGCTCTTTTTGCAAGACTTCCATTGATTGCAATGTGGAATTTGCACAAGTAGGAACTGCTGGGTGATGCTCACAGAGATTTATTCTTTCTTTAGTATGTGGCTGTCTCCAAACTGGAGGATATTTAACAAATGGTAAATAAATTGATGGGTTTTTTTCTCATTCAAGATATGGAATGCTAGAGCGATGCAGAGAACTGGTAGAAGCAGGATATGATGTTCGACAACCAGACAAAGAAAATGTGACTCTTCTTCACTGGGCAGCAATAAACAACAGACAGGAGCTGGTTAAGTAAGTTCAAGAGTCCCTGTGAAAGTAACACAAGTATTCTGCCACTGTTACTTATAATCTCTTTGTTGCTTTTGTACTTGAAAACAAAGGAACCTGCTGCTTGAGAAGAAAAGCATGAAATTCAAACTTTAACCCAATAACCTTTGTGGAAATGTCGCTGCAATGTGAAGATAGCCTGGTTTCTTTATATGTGAAATCATGTAGTACATGAAATCATTTTCCTGGGTTTGGTTTGTTTAACAAACATGACAGCTGATTTTATAAGCACCTTGCTAATGACTGTATTTTTTCTCAAACATTTTCTTGAAAAGTGTCCTTTACCGTAAAAACTTTTGTCGATTTTCTTCTCTAGTGATTTTTTTTTTATTGTAAGCTAGTGCCACATTATTAGAGCTAATGTTATCATTAGTATATATTTATTATATCTTATTATGTTCTTAATCTTATTGTGTTGTTATTACACAGATATTATATTTCCAAAGGTGCGATAGTGGATCAGCTGGGTGGAGATTTGAATTCTACTCCCCTTCACTGGGCCATTAGGTATGTTGCTTGCAAGTGTAAATCTGTTAATATTAAAAGCTATAGTAGCATTTTGTGTGGTACAAAGAACAAAGCACTGCTTGTCTGGAGAAAACATAACCTTAAATGATTATTCTGGGATAACTCCTCTGAGTGCCAGTTCTCACATTGGAAGATCAGTGCTTTCTTCTGGACTATCAGTCTTCTGCCAGAGTTGGATGCTTGGATGACTGCTTACAGGAGAGATTACTGTAGAATAACCACTGTATTCTAAATTAACAGTTTGCCCTAGGCTGATTTATTAAGGTGTATATTTAATATAAATTTCCTGATACAAACTTGTAGCTTAAGTATTTTCCTGAATAAAAGCATGAGAATCTGAAAGAAAATTGGTTTTTTGTGGGGTCTCTGTGAGAATGATTAGGGCAATGCTTTCATTAAAATACCCATTTTTTTCATCATCTCTATAGTTTCATTTCATATATCGTTGTAGACAAGGACACCTACCCATGGTCATATTATTGTTGAAATGTGGAGCGGATCCCAGTCTTATTGATGGGGAAGGATTCAGTAGCATTCATTTAGCAGTGCTCTTCCAACACATGCCCATCATAGCTTACCTCATATCAAAAGGCCAGGTATGTTGGTGATGTCCCAGTTGTTGTGTTCTACTTGTGAGTAGCTGTCTGTGTGTAGGATACCTTTCAGAATTAGCTGGTTTGTTTTCTACATGAAAAGCAGGTGTTTTATAACTTTTTTCTGTGTTATAAGTTCAGATAAACTTAGATTTTTTTAATATATATTTAAAAAACTTTTTTTTAATAGTCCTCCTTGTTCCTGTCATCCCCACATGTCCAGATTCACCTACATTTCAGAGTATTTAAAGAGCATTGCTAAGGCTATGCAGATTTGTGGTGCTGTGTAAATGACAACTGGCATTTACACATGAGAACAAAAGAACTAAACATTTAAACCTGAGAACAAAAAGTATATGATGGATATACGTCATGAAGTATTTATGATTTGATTACAGTGTGGTAACTAGTCATCCATGGAATTGTCCATCAATTGAAGTATGCAGAATAGATCATCAGACTAGGTCTGAATTTTTATTAATTTCTGTGTTTTCTTTAATTTTATATTGTATCCATGGTAGTTGATATCTCCCAACTTACATCTGAAATAATCAGAATTAATGACAAGTGTAACAGTTTTCTAATAAAAATGAGAGAAGAGTTCTTATATGATCAAGACTGTTTCTTAGAAACATTGAGTGTTAGGATTTAAAGATTTTCTAAGTTTATTTTCTTTCTTATAGAGTTCTCTTTGGTAGAATAAATGCCTTCTGGAGTGTAGGTATAGTGATGTGTATCACAGACTTAATAAAGCTGTTAGTTCACCTATCTTCAGCTGAAAAAATCCGAGTATTTAATAATTTCTTTTAAGTAAATCTGTTCTAATGTAATGATAGGTGGAAGCAGGGAACAAGGAAACCTTCATTGTTAAGAAGGAAGAAAATTAGGTAATACAAGTGAAGTGTTTATGTTTTGAGATACGTAACCAACCAATCTTTTCTTGTTTTAATAAACCTGTTTTATGTACTTGGACATTCTGTTATGTATTCTGTTTACACAAGGAAGATGGTTAACATGATTCACTTGGAAATATCCTTTGTGGAGACTCTCCCTTAAAAGTGTCCTTAGCAGAAACTCAGAATATTCTGGAAGGAACGACATGCAAGACTTGTAGAGGGAAGAAAAATGTTTAAAGAAGTGTTGGCTTCTTGGCTTATGTAATTTGGTTTCTTTCCATTTTCTTTTCATTCGTGAAGCTAAACCAGTTGTATAGCTCCAAATCTGACCACCTCACTGTTTCCTGAAATTACTGATAATCACTTGCTTGTTGTTTTTTTCTTATTCTTAGAACATAGACACAACAGACTTCAATGGACAAACACCTTTAATGTTAACAGCACAAAAAGCCATTGGGTAAGTAGTGAATAACTGAGAAGGGTCTATTTTATTGTACCCAAGAAGCAGCGAGGCGAATTTTTTCTTACGGTTCTTTTTTTCAACTGGCATTCCTTTCACTGTCATTTGTACTAAAATATCCAGTATTTCAGAGATCAGGAGTTAGGAAGTAGCTCGTTGGATATAGCAAAGTCAAAAGAATTTCCAGAAGAAGTTTAGGTTTGTGGCTGAATCATCTGCAGCCGTACTGTGCTTTCCCCAAAATGAAAATAAATGGTGAAATGCATTTAGAACAAATTAAATGTGGAGATATAAGCTTACACATGGCGTTGTAGAAGATACAATCTGTGTTATAGACCTCATATTTGTTAAAAAGGTAAAATTACATAATCTGGAGAAAAACCTTCAAGGTGGGTCCTGAATTCTAAACTTGGAACTCTTGTTGATGAACTTGTTCTGAGACGAGGTGTTGCATATCTCCTGTTGGTTTACTGATTTTTTTATAGGGCGTTCAAAAGTTTCATTTCCAGCTTAGATTCTCTTCTGTTCGTTAACTGTTATACTTTATTTTCATCTAGACCGGAACCCACGAGGTTTCTCTTAAAGTTTAACCCCTCTCTCAATGCTGTAGACAATGTTCAAAAGAATACTGCACTGCACTGGGCAATATCATCGGGAAATATCAGTGCAGTGGATCTGTTGCTGGAAGCTGGTGCCAGCCTCGACATAAAAAATGTCAAGGTATAATTTCTTTCATGATGTTTCATCCCATGTGGCATAAATGTGTAAAATAAATGTAAAGAAAAATCTGAGCCCTCTTCACATTGGATGTCAGCTGCAGCAGGAGGTGACTAAGAGCAGATGTTCTTAGACTTCGCGGAAAGGACTTAGCGCCTTCCTTGAGGTGTGACTCAAAGAATGCAGGGGTTCTTTGCAACATTTCTTTAATGAGCAGCCAAGCCTTGTGTTCCCTCAGCATCCTTTCATTTTCTTGGGGGTTTGTTTCGTTTCTTCATTTCTTGATTTGGCTGCTTTCTACTTCAGAACGTTGTCATGGAGACTGATGACCTTTGGCAGATTTTAAAAAGTAGCAGTTCCTTAGTGTCCAGTCAGACTCACAAAGACTTCAAAATACATGTGGAAGCTAGTGTTTGGCAATGCCTGAGTTGGTCACATATGAAAGTCTTCCTCTTAATATTTGTAAAAACTGATAGTGAGAAGTATAAATGTTGAAAGTATCAATTCTCATGACTATGTAAATATGTTACTGGAGGCAGTCCAGCAGATAACTCAAATGGGTGCAATCTGTTTGCCAGTGTCAGTTTTCAGAATTGCAAAGCACTGAATTAAGCATATTAAAACCCTGAGTTTAGCTTACTTTACCTTAAAGAATAAGAGGGGGGAGGTGGGACTGGGAAGTAACTGCCCAGTTATTCTTGTTTTAACTATATTAATTTCTTGCTTCTGTTAAAAAGGAAAGTATTTATGTGTTAAGTGCATAAATAAATAACTTCTTCTGTTCTTAAAGGGAGAGACACCGCTTGACCTTGCTTATCAAAGTCAGAATCACTTCATGGTTTATATGATGAAAGAGGAAGGAAGAATGAGAAGCAGGAAAAATAACAGGTTGCTGAAAATAGTAGAGAAATATGAGGTAATTTCCCAAGTGATAACTAATGGAAATAAAACTACAACATGCTGTGTTTAGAGTGATATGCAAATTAACTCTATTCTAACAAACGACTTTTGAGATTTCTGAAATTGGATGCACAAAAAATATTCTTTAAAAGCACATAGCAGTGTTTCGAGTGGGGTTTTTTTGTGTCATTCCTCCTCCTCTGCTTTTGATGTGTCACCTTGTCTTCTCTATCTTGAGTCTTTCAGCATCTGTTATTACATGAAGTGAACACTTTTAAGTAAGTCTGATTGAATACTTTAACAATAATACAATAACAATAAAACAATAACTTGAATATTTTCACAATAATAATTTTAACAGCTCTTCCTGATGTTGGCATCTTCCTTGACCTTCATGTGGGCCATAGGATACGTCGTGAACTTAAGTTCTGATTCTTGGCTTTTGAAAGGATGTTTGCTTCTCTGCCTGCTTTTTGGAATGACACTGTTTGTCAGGTTTGTGGCTTTTTTCTCTCTGTATGTGTATTTAATTGTCAGAGACATGATATATTTTCAAAGTTTAGTTTCACATAGCTTAGAAGATACGTCCCGAAAAATGGTTGCAGAGTGTGTGAAGAATCTAAATATATGTACTTTTTAGAATGAATGACCATAGAAATTGAATGTCTTTAGGTGTACACAGTAGTAGTTTCCTGTCACGGAAAGATTAAAAAACCCCAAACAGTCTGTTAGCTAATTTTAATGTTAAAGAGTGTTATTGATGGTTTGCATCTGGCAGACACTGAGATGTCTATTCACAGTGCTCAGAAATGTGTTTTATCACAACCTTTTCCTGCTATATTTTGGCAGAGAATAGGTTTTAGTGAGCCATTCCCTCTCCTTCTGCCTCCCCAGAGCTCCCAGTGTTATCCTGAGCTGGTTTGTACTTTTCCTGCTTTCTCCAACAGTTCCTGCAACAGTCAGTATTCATTGATGTGGCAAAGCTGTCTGTGTGCAAATGGACAGAGACTGTACTTCTCCCCCAGTGCTACAACACTTCTCATATATAATATTAGGCTGGAAGAGAGCACTTAGTAGGTCTGGTTTTGCGTTGATACCCCCCTGTCCGTCTGGATAAAGAATCCTTTTGAGTGACAGTTCTTGATTGCTTTGAGAGACTTGAAATATACCACGTGCGTGAAGTTTTTACAATAACAAACCAGATGATTTATATTCTATGGACTTGTGTTTTAAATATATTTTGAAAAATATTATTTTTTTTATTTTAATATTCTTTCAGGCAACTCGTGGGGCTCAAGAATCTAAGGTATCTTCCCACAGCATTTCTGCTAAGTTCAGTTTTTTGGATGTCCATGACCTGGTTTTTCTGGTTCCTGCCCGATATCCTTTATTCTGAGGAAATGCAATAGAACTGTCCCTGTAGTTCCTTGTAAATCTAAACCTGGTCATGCAAACTAATGAGCAGTTCCAGATAATTCCACGTGACTGTTAATGTCTGGTAAGATTGGTTTACTTCCATTGGAGAGGGACAGAGTAACTTTGACTTTAATTTAAAGTTATATATGGATTAAGAATGTGTACCTTCTTTTGTCTTTAGCAGATTTTTGGGTTTTTTATAATCTGAACTATTTCATATGTTATTGGAAAATCAAAATGAAGATGTCAGTTATAAATCCAGTTGTTTCTGTTAGCATCTCCATGTGACTTCTTAATCTTCCTCAGTGAGCCTCTCATACAGTATGTATTTTGGCATGTGGTATAACTGGATAACACATGCATTAATAATAATTTTAAAAGCAACTGGTCTTTCTAAAATGACAAGGATTTGACAGTGGTGTTCATGCTTCTGCCTTTAAAAACAACACCCTCCACACACCCCCCCAAAAAGGATCAAATTTCTTTGTGTTCCTGTAAAATAGGTCATCCAGTCTCCTGTTTGTCTTTATTCACTCTGAATCCTTAGTATACAGTGGATTCATTTCTACCTCTCATTTGCTTTCTCTGAAGAGGCTTTTCACTGTTGAGTACAAAAACATTTTAGTAGTTTGCACTCTTTTCAGTGCCTTGCTCTTTTGTTACACGGGGGGCATGTACTTATTGGTAAAGTTTTGTGGGAAGGCATTTAGGAAGATACTTAGAACTGTAAATAATGTTTTACTAAACCAGCTATAATATATTGCTACACAGTTTTAATTAATTTTTAGTTCAGCCTTTAAATGGCATTTTCTTTTGTACTGTTCCCAGTTAAGATGTCCATAATAGAATTACCAGGATTAACTTCGATGAACTGATCAAGTATATTCCTGCTGGGGATACACACATGGTTGTCTAAATGAAAATTGTGTTACTCAGTGCTCTGTTGTGAAGTTTTAAGGTTTTCTTGGTGTCATCTAAATGAAAAGGGGAAAAAAATAATTCCAGTGATAGGGATTTGAGTCAGGCACTTTGCTGAAGATAGTAAGCACAGCAGTGTCCTTGAAGGTCTAACCATGGCTTGGTGAGGTGGGTCAGTGGACAGTTTTCCATTTCACTATCCAACCCTTTTTCTTGTTAATGTGTTTTCCTTCTGAAACTGGTCACAGATCTGAGTATTATAAACGTTTTCAGGATTTTAGTTACCTGTATTTGTCTGTCAAACTGTTCCTCTGGACTGAATGAAAATCCAGAATTTCAATCAGCTCCAAAAAACCAATAGCAATGCAAATAGACCCGCAGTATCCACAAGAAATGTGCCATCATTTGACTTCTGCAACTGCACCCTGCATTGTAACAAGCAGCTGGTAATATATGGTGCCAATATTTCATAATTTATCGTCTTGATTTTAATTAGAACTGTTTGCAGTGGCATTAGTTCATAAGACAAAGCAACCTGGAGGTTGCAGCGCTGGATTTTTAAGGGCTATTTGCAGTACAGTTTGTAGAGTGACAGGGGTCACTGGAGATGCTTTTCAGGCTTGGGCTCTCTGCCTGCTCCTTGGGAGCATCAGGGACTGTTCTTAGCAGCCCGAGCTCTCAAGCTGGGTGCATGAATTTAATTGGTAAGAAACTTGTCCCACTCCACGTTCCCCTGTTGCTGTATAGAGACAGTTAATCTTGGCATGTTTTTCTCCCCCTTTTGCCTGATGGTTGTAGTCCATAGAATAAAAGTTATGTTCCTAATGTCCTTCAGAAGTATTTAGCAGTGTGTGCTTGGGTTTTTTTGAGTGACAAAAATAGTTTCAGGATGGCTTTATTACATTCTTCTGACTGAGTATATTTAACTGCTTTTGGCTGAAATGAACAGGAGAAGGTAAGACTGAGTGTTTGATGACTTAGGGGTGTGTGCAGCAGTCAAACAAATCTCAAAGCTGCTGGAAGCTTTATAACTCTGCATGTCTGACTAGTTGTTTAAATAAAATAGAGAAGCTTCGGAGGGAAAAAAATCAAATTCATTTTGTATCTGTTGAACATTGAAAGGCAAAAGTCTGCACTCTGGTAGGGAGGATGACAGGGAGCCATATTGTGATTTAAATTTATACAGTTGTAAAAATCTTCTCCAGCACTCAAACTGGACAGATACTCAACTTCTCTGATATGATGGCCTCTGAAGGACAGAGAAGATCCAGCTATAAGGGTGAAGATAATTTTTTTCTTTTTTGCGTGTTGCTTGTAAAATAACATAAACTAATTTTAGAATATTTTGTTTGTTTGACAAAGAGTGGTGATACGTGGTATAAGAATATATTCCTTAACCTGACAATTACATATAACAAATATAATTCTTGAAATCACTGTCATGTTCAGCATGATGGGTCTTCTTTATTATTTCTATAAAACTTGGAGTACTGATCCTGGATATATAAAGACTTCAGAAGAAGAAAGAAAAGAGGTAGGTGATTTTGGCAAATGGAAGGGCTGTAACCTGGTGCAGTATGTATGGTTGATTTGTTTGGCATTATGTGCAGCTTTGGTAAACTTGAGAGCAGTGCAATATTCTTCCTTTAAGAGTTTTTAGCGAGATAATTTCTCCTCCTACTGCTTGTTTCCTTATCTTCATCATCCTGCTACGATTTCTGTGCCTCTATCTTTTTTCATTGAAGTATGAGCTTGGCCAAACATCTTACAGACCTACTGATGTTATCTGTGATATAAATTCACGTAGAACTTCACTTAAAAATGGAAATTCTGTGTGGTTTCTGCTCCAGTTGTTTGTGGTTAAAAAGAGAGATGAGCATGGAGAACTGTAGGAGAGCAGTGTGAATAAGTCATACCTCTCCTCATCTCCCTGAAGTCTGGCTGACTGTATGAGAGTTGTCTTATATGTAAACACCATCTCACTTTAAAGAATATTTAATTCACATTATTTATTAATTTTGGCAACATAGAGATACTTTTCTGTGTAATCTTGTATTGGTGAAGCTGCATTAATTTTTACTGGTTTGTGTTTTCTTGTGGACCTTTTTAAATAGGAAGTTCTGTCAGTGCTTGGCACTCAAAATACTTAAAAATGGCAAAAGTCACAATGTAAAAAGCTTCACAGCACCTATGAAAATGTGATCCAAATGCAAGCCCAAAATACTTTGTCTTTCAGAACATTGTAGGTCTTGCAGAAGCAGGTTGCTTGGACTTCAGAACATTCTGCACATCGTGTCTCGTAAGTGGGCCTTTGGTATTTTTTTTTTGTGAACCTGCATTATACTCAGTGCTGCTGTAAAAAGCATTTTCCTCTCTGATTGTCATTTGAATGTTACACGAGGCTTTTTTTCTGTATTGTTTGGATTTCTTTATATCTTTTACAGTGACAAGAGATGATATGAGATGATTGGGCTGTAATCTTAAAAAAAAAAACCCACAACTATTTCCATCTCTTTTTTAATGTAAATTTAAGATGTATGGCTCTCATCTATGTTCTGTTGTGAGGTCTGTTACACAGTAATTGTGCAAAATGTGCCCAACCTATAAGATGATGCTTTAAACTTTGAGCAAAACAGATGCTTCTGCTATGAGTGTATTCTTTTCCTTCATCCTCAACTAGGTAAGGAAGCCTTTGAGATCTGTGCATTGCCTTGCTTGCCAAGCATGTGTAGCCAGATACGACCAGCATTCTCTGTGGACTGGCCAGTGCATAGGTGAGAGTGTGTGTTTTATCAAATTTGCAAATGCCACATGTTTTAAAAGTTGCAGAAGTAACATTTATCTCCTTAAAGAGAGAGAGCTCACATGACACAAGAATATGCAGTTGATACTGAAGGGCTCTGGTAGGTGCCAGAGGGAAATTAGTTAGATGAGAGAAAGTCTATTAAAGGGATAGAGTAGTCACCATAAGAATAAAAACCACAAAGTCTGGAACTCTTTCTTTTGAAAGAAGAAGGAACAGGGGATATGATTGAGATGTTAAGAAAGAAAGAGAAAAAATATGAAGATGGTGGCTAAAGTGAATGCAGAACTCTTACTCAACAAGCACATCATACTAAAACTAGGGATTTAAAATTAGTCCTGTCTTTACATGGCAGGCAGTGAAATTTTGGAGCTTGCTACTGTAAGGGTTTGCAGATACAGACAGAGTCAGGAGGTTCAGAAAGGGGTTAGACTGACTTTTTGGACAATGTGTGCAAAAGTAGATACTGAAAGAACTAGCCAAGTGTGCGCACACTGACTGTGGATGAGGAGGGTGAACTCCAGAAATTGGCCAGGCTTGGGTGTCCTCCCAACCTTCCATTGCCTCCTTCACTGTTAGAGACAGTTGTGAGAGGAGCAGCTGGACCCCTGAGATAACCCAGCAGGGCGTTATTCGTGCTCTTGTGTTCTTTCCTCTTGCCCTCTTTCTTCCTTCCTGGCTCATTACTGGTGATGCTCAAGATATTAAGGTCAGACCTTTTCATCTGTAACAATATATTTTTAGCTTTTTTTTTTCTTTTTAGTAGCTTTTTTTGGTAATATTAAATCCTTGGAAATATTTTTATGGTGTTTGCCATTTACAAGGTGGTAGGACATCCTTCTGATGCATTGTCTGGAGGCTCTGAGCAATATGATTGTAATTTAAATAAAGATATTTTTATATCTTCATGTAACAGTTTCTCTGACAGAGGTCTGGGGTGGTTTTGTGTATGTTTGCAATTTTGAAGCACACGAGGTCAAACAATCAAATTGAATAGACTTTTCAGCAATATGAGACAATTTTACTGTGCATGGAGGAGAGTTGTGGTTGCATAATTAATCCTCATCTAGCTAAAACAACTGAAGGCATGCTCTGAAGAAGACACAAATCCTGGTTGACTTTATCAAAACTAATTCTATTGTATAAATTGGAGTGGCTTACAGGAGAAAGTTGAGAGAGAGATCAGCCTTGTCAAGCTCTCTTGTGGATGGCAGAGGTAATAACAAGAAATGGTTTTGACTTACTTTTTATTCCTATTTAACTTCAGGGGAAATGCAAATACTGCTGAATTTTGAATTGTCAAACTTTTTTTTTTTTTATTTTTTTCCTTGCCTTAATTTCAGGTATTGGGAACCATTGTTATTACCTGTTGTTCCTGACTTTCCTAACAATGACAGGTGTCTGGCTGCTCTATGGAACTCTTCTGTGTATGTATCCATGAATTTATTTTACTTTACTTTTCAAGTACAGGTGTGTCTGGTCTTTATTTTTCAGCATTTTGTTTCCAGCAAGTGTAACTGTACCTGCACAAGTGATGCCATATTTCAGCAGTGGCATTATTGTGTAAATAAGTGACAATACATCATGTCTGAGTCTTTGCTCAAATATCATAGTTCTTGCTCAACACAAACATAATAAGATACAACTCTAGTGGGATGTCCATTGGAAAATGAAATAGCAGGAAGAATTTTTGTTAGAGGTGAAATAGAGAAACCATGTGGAGGAAGGTTACAGGTTCTAAGCTGGATGCCCTTTACTGTAATAGAAAATAAGTTTGTAAATACATTATTACAAAAGCTTTATTGATTTTGTTATTTGGAAATATCTGTATTGAATACCTGGAAGCATTTCTTTTTGGTTTTAATGTAGTCATAACTTTGAAGAGAAGAGAACTGTATATCTCATTAACAGATCTGAACTGTTACTTTTAAAAATTAGGAAATTTCTTAGAGGGGAGAGGAGAAACATTAAAATGTAATTCCTGAGGGTGAATTACCACAGCACTAACCTTTTAAATAAAAAAGCAGAGGGAGTTAATTTTATTTCATAGTGCTTCACATTATGTTGATATGAGGCAATATTCAACATAGAGTGCAATGAACCAGCCATGGCAGTGGAGGACACAGGTCACTTGTGTGAACATGAGTTAGTGTTCCTGTGTTTGGGTGGGGATCTTGTGTATGAAAAAAGCATGTTATTTTCTCCATTTCCTGTATGTGAAGGAATGTGGGAAGAAAACCTCTTTATTGCTCTACTGATACAGAGAAGAAAAAAAAAGGTACTTTCCTTGTAGTTTGGGGGTTTTTCTAATACATTAAATATGTATGTGTTAGACTTAATTAGCTTGTAAGAAATTTGCAGGAATTGGACATCCCAGTTTACGTCTGTTTGATAGTGGTAGAATACTGCTTTCTTGGAATTGTCACCATCAAGTCTCCTTTTGTTGATGATGGTGTTTAAGAGAAATGATAAATTCTTGTCCTAAAAGTTACAGATAAGCACGAAGCAAAATTCCAGAAGTCTTGACAATGGGAGATTATGACACTTCAGTATAATGTAAAAAGTGCTTAGGCAGTGCCTTGAATGTTCTTTGTGTGGATTATGAACTCAGAATGTGAAGATTATGCAGCCAGAATAACAAGCAGTCATGTAGCTATGTGGGTGCTTTTAAGTGGGAATGGGATACATTAAACACGGTATTTCTAGAGCCCGTTGCTATGTAATATTCATTTTGTGCAAATAGTCCTTGTTCAGTTCTTAAGGGCTTAAAAACACAATTAACTGGTTGTATGTCTTCTCAGATTGGTCCAACCATTGTCCAACAAGTTACCACCAGGATGGAGCATGGACATACTTCACACAGGTCATGTACTGCTCTCCCTGGGTTTCCTACATCTCTGCAGTTGCCTGTTTCCACACTGTTTGGGCCTCCTTGTGGCTCACTGTTCAGCTTTATCAGGTACTATTTTCCCTCAGTTTATGCTCAGAACTTTTCCCCGGATGATTTACTCCCATGAAAACCTTGTGTCTGCTTTCCTTGCCTGGCTTCTGTCACAGCAAGGAGCTTCTCTTAAATCTCAGGGCAGTACTTCAATGCACCCTGTTAAAAGCAGGATCACAGTCTGCAGATCATTCCTACAGCTGAGTTCTGGGTTTACTGCTCATCAGAAATTCCAAACCTATAAAAAGTATTTAAAGAAAACAAATGTATTTGACAAATAGAACTGGTATTAGTGCCCCAAAAATGACACAAAAGTTCAATAGCACAATTAGTCCTGAGTTTAAAATTCAGTGCCAGAGCTCAACAGTGTGTCACTAGACACATTGCAACAATAAAAGTACATAACCTGGATTTTATCTTGTCAAATTTCTTGTTTATGTTTTTCTCAGAGAGAGCTTGGCTATGCAAAGAAAGAAAAGCTGTCCTAAAACATCTGGGAAACAGCTCATTTAGCAGCTTTTAGGAAAGATGTCACTGAAATATGTGTTAAGCACACTGAGCTAAAGACTTGTCTTACATCTTGTTTAATAAAAAAAAAACCAACTCCACAATTGAAATGTGTACTGCTAGATTCCTGCAGTATCCAAATCACTGAGATATTGTGCTAGGGGAAAAAAACCAGGATCTAGGATTAGAGTTTACAGTTAACTACTGTGTTTCCTACACAGTCATTTCTAAATGTACTGCTTTGTGATATTTAGTGTGTCATTTGGTGAAGGACCCTTGCAGCCATTTATGAGGGTTTATAAGATTCGTGTTGATTAAAAAATTTAAAAATGGAATAGGTAAGGAAAAATGCAGAAAAGAAATCTAAGTTCATTGTTGAAACTCAGTGAAAGAAAACACAGAGTCAAGAAAAGGGAAAAGTTATTGTTGAATCTCTAATATGCACTTCTTTTTTACTCAAGTATTTTGACCTTTTTTCAGGGGATCTTTTTCTGCCTTTTGTGTGGTAGAATATAGACAAAATCTGAGGAGATTGGTACCTAGCTGTGATGGATCTTAGACTTCTGCAGGCATGTGTGGAAGTGCAGTCTTTATAGACAGCCCAATTAAGCTTGCCTTGTCAGTGGAAGCATTCATGTTACAGCTTGCTGGGCTCTGTTTTAGCCTAAGTGACATTTAAAAACATACTTCTCAGTCATCAGTTATAGCAGAGGTTAGTTATTAGTTAGATATGGCCAACCTCCTTTCTCATTAGTATCTTTTTGCATCACCAGAATTTTGATTTGTGGTGTTCATGTTGTAACCATTACTTACATTTTCCTTTCACTAAGATTGCATTCTTGGGGCTGACCTCTCATGAAAGAATGAATCTCCTGATACAGAGAAAATCTTCTAAGCATCCTGTTTCACTCAGGAGAACTCCATACAAGTGGGTATTGATTAACAGAGTATTTTAAGTGATTTGCTTCACTGCTTTATAAAGGCAAAAATATGATGTGCTGGTCATGCCTGTTAAGAGTTGTGCTAAGAGGAGGAAGTGGACTTTGTTTTCCTTACTGAGAACTTCCTTTTCTCTAGGAAACAAACAACCAGCACAAGACCTGTGGGTTTTTTTGTGCATGACTGTGTGCACAGGAAAAAGATGTGCCAAAATCAGTCCATAGCACTAATCAGTAGACACTATTTTGGAGTGAGGGAGAGCTGTCCTTTAATTTGTTCATCAGTCTCTCTGTCTGTTGTGTAGGATCAGAAAGAGAACTAAGACATGAACTGGCCCCTTTACAACTTCTCTTGTAGTATTTAGAGAAATTGGTACCAAGGTTTCCCTGTTTCTTTGTTTCCTTATGTGTTAACAGATGGGATCTTACTAAGGACTAACTTTTAAACAGTTGAGTTCAACTTCATCTACTCTCATTTGTTAACGTAAAACAGGGTGTAAAAGTTCAGCAAAGGAATAATGCTCTATAGAGAACTGTTTAATTAAAAAAACCCAACTCCACAATTTTAAAACTGACAAGTTTATATCTGAAGTACTGTCTTGTGGTGAATGTGTAGTTTTGATGCTTGCAGTCTTCTTTTTTTTAGGTTTATTAATGCATATTTTTCTCCTTTTCAGTCTTGGATGCTTCCAGAATCTTGCAGACTTTTTTCAGTGCAGTTGCTTTGGTGTGTTCAAACCCAACATAATTGACTGGACCAAGCAATACAATGTTTTTCATCTGGTAAAGGAGAAAAATGTTCATTCTGTGTGAAGTTTTGCTTAATTTCTAAAATGGTTGAGCTGAAAGCTAAATAAAACTGTATATTTTGTTAATTTTTCCAAATTCTTCTGAAGTTGCTTGGTTTTATTATTGTTTCAAATCTTAAACTTCATCTTGCATAAGCTACAGCAGGTTTGTATATGGAACAGTCATTGTGTGTCTGTGTGTATATGTAGCTTGAGCTGAAACTATTTAAAATTTTATGTGATGAGAGGACACTAAGAATATATTTTTTAATAGTAAGTTTTTAGGGCAGGCAGAATTTCAAAACCACATTGGTACCCTCTGCTTTATCCTTGCAGATAAGAAGACAATTACATTTGAAAATTAAAGTGAATGTTCGTATTTTAAAACTTCATGTTATGGTTATATTGTAATTTTGTTTCTTATGCTGTGAAAACCTCCATTAAGTCTTTGTATTTGAAAGGTTTACATGTAATAAAATAGAGCTTTCATACTTCTAAGTGTATTTTTGCAGACTGAAATAGATTCAAGGGGCATGTGACCAGTGAGGTTTTTAAGAGCAAGCAGGCACAAAACCATAAGAGAAAGCCTGACTCTACCTTATGTTTTCCACGTATATGCCCTGTTAGTGTATGAAAATGGGTAAGTTCATGATGAAAAATAGCAATGTAAATAAAAAGAGGGAATTATTCCCAGCTGCATGCACAGATCTTTAATGGCTGATGTCGGCCAAGAAAAGGCTACAGTGGCAGTTCAGAAGGGCCATTTGGACACTGTGGTGTGAATATAAGTCAGAGTTGGTAGCAATGAAAACCAACAGGGAAAGAGAGCAAGGTCAGAAAATTAAATGCCATCTAGAACTGACAACATAAGAGTCAAGTAGTGCGATGAAACACCATTCTTGTAGTAAAGAAATGGGAGATTTCATTTATCTTGAAATCTGCAACATTGTAGAATGTAAAAGCACAAGCAAATTCAAATGGAAATAATGTGAAGCAGTAAGTACTTTATTGTAGCTTGAAAACAGACAGTAACCAAACTTACAACATTGCATTCTAGGAAAGTTTTGTTTTTCTTTGATAGAAAGAATTTCAAACCCTTTTTAATTGTCTCAAAGTGAATAACCTCTACCTTGTCACAGCACAAAATGCCAACACGTTCAAAACACATCTAGGAGATTGGTAGGAATAGAGTAACGTGGTGGGCAAAGGAAAATACAGTCTAACTCGAACACTCAGACCCTGCACTCCATAAGGTATCTCTATGGGACACTGAGCTGAATCTGAAACTCCAGTCTAAAATGTGCTAAATACTAGTTTAAGAAGCAATAATATTACACAAGGGTTTTTTGTCTTTGTTTACTGTAAAACAGGCATGAACCTTCTTTTATCACTGTACCTTTTTAATCTAATCTAAGAATTTAAGATATAAGCTCACAAATTCTTCCTGCAAGGTAGAAAATCTTGCCCAAATGCCCTATGTTCTTAGCAATATATGATGTTTAATGTTTTACTTGACAACTATGACTTGGTGGCATCAACATCAGTTAGAGACTGTTGCATCCGTTTCTTCTCATTCACATTCTTTCTTTTCCACTTGAGTGAGGCCACCAAACCCAATTCCTTTGGGACCGAAATTTTTTGCATAGCAAACTGCAAAAGAAGGAGGGGAGGATAAATGTTTTTGAATTCTAAATGTTCTCAGGTAGGGGTAAATGTCTTTTAGTTTTAGTTTTTAGATCACTACCAAATTTAAGTTAATAAAAGGAAGGAAATGTGAAATAGCTTATTTCCCACAAGTGTTGGCAGGTTTTAGTAGTGAAACTGAAATCACATATTTGAGTTACACAAAAGTCACATCTGGTGATCTCAAAAAAATTAGGAAACTAACTGTAGATTTAAGATCTAAGTAATGTTTTCATTAAAGCTACTTTCCTATCTGAAAATTCTCGGTAAAACTTGGTCTGGTGAGTAATTCAGGCTGAGTAATGAGTCAGTAGTTTTCCAGGAGGTAAAAGAACTGGAGCATAGTTCTGAAACTATTGATGAGCTTTTAAACCATTCCATTTGAACTGTGTATTGGTAAGTGTGTGCATAGTTTTTTATCACAGCTCTGCTAAGGGAGTAGTAATGGTCAGCATGTTTCTCCTGATGTGGTGATTTGATCACTTGTGGCAGACAAACTGTACCCAAAGTCACAGAACTTCAATATTCTTCTTTAGGGCTCTCTATAAAGTTTAGCTTGGGATATAAAACCTTGGCATATTTTTCCCCCATAAGGTGTTTCTGAGAGTCAAGTGAAGTCTGTGAACTTTCAGAATTTGGGAACATCTAGATGTATAATTTAGCATCAATGCATTATCTTCTGTGCTGCCAATACAGTGGAAGTATCTTTAATTGTCAGGAATTCCAGATGACCTCTGCAGATCTGTATCTATGTGGATTTTTTATTTTAGTGAGTGAGATGGTGCAGGTACAAGAGCCTGCCCAGCAGAGATGGCCAATGTTCTGTTAAAAGATCTGAGAGATATTTGTAGAAAAATTACAGCATTAAACTTTAAATGTTAGTAGTATAAGCTGCAATTGCGATGTTACCACGGCTCTTTGCTTTGCTTTCAGAAAGTTGTTAAAAAAAAGATAAAATTAAATTTCCTGAAGTTGGTTTTCCTAGGTCTAAAGAGACTAATTTTAGACTGACTGAGTAACCCAGCTGAGCTCTCTGGAACTCTCACCTTTACAGTAGAGCTCTCCGTCTTTGTCTGTAACATTCGTGGACTCTAAACTCTTCCCACAGATAGCGCAGCGGAAACACATCTTGTGCCAAGGCTGAGGAGATGGAGACAATGCATTGTACATTACAGAAAGTGCACAGGTACAAGAAATGAAGAACTACTGCTTTTTACAGTGTGAAAAGGTTAAAATCTTTTTGTTGATCTCATGGCTTCCGTTTTTAATCATTCCAGGTTGGTCTTATTTCAGTTACATTATTGTGCCATGTCAAGAGTTACCAAGTGACTTTGTTATTGATGCACAGTTATTAATGGAGGTCTAGTAAAAAGCAGGGAGCAGGGAGTGCCCTTATTTTGGGCACTTCTTCAGTGTGCAGAGATCATATTCCAGTGAGAGTTCCTTGAGCAGAGAGCTTTGCATGTCATTTGAGAAAGGCTTCTGTTTTTCTAGTTACAGGATCTCTTTAATGTATCTGTAATTGCCACTACAAATAAATGTTTATAAATATCCCCCAAAGGTGGAGGAAGAGCCAGGCTGTACAGTAGTCAGGGGTTGTTCTTCAGACATCAATAAGAAGGGAAAAGTTGGAGAAGGTTTACAAAAGGCACATGATTTTAGACCTGAAAGTACATCCCACTCAAGCAATTTGCTGCTTCATGTTTTCTTCATCAAGACTAGGAATGAAAATTTAAATGATCAAGGACCTATTAGCTACAGTTTATCACCATTATAAAACTGTGTTTTGTTTCTAGTGCTGAAGTAACTACTTACTTTTCCTCCTCCCATGATCTTCTCTGCAGCATACACTGATTTGCCACAACGGGGACATTTATCCACATCTACCATCTTTTTGGCAAACTTTGAAGCATTAGTTGGTGTAGAAGGGCGAGCAGGCTTTGGTGACCCCCTAAAACACAAGGTTTCAGTGCTTTTTAAATGCCACTTCAAATGTTACCTACCTTAGAAAAAGTATTTAATGGTTTTTTTGGTAAGGGATGAAAAGTACTGAATTGCCGTTCTCTGATGTGCAAACTGGGGATAAAAAAGGGGAAAATCAAAGTATTCTAGTGAATTCTGTGTTGTGTGATGGAAAAGCTGGTACTGTAAGCTCTGATGTTGCCTGTTCTGGGCTGAGTGCATAGAGTTGACAGCAGCCAAATGCAGAAAAGATTGCATTTAATGAAAAGTGAAAGTAAAAAACAACTTTGTTTTATGGAAAAGCAAGAGTGAAAATACAAACAGAAGACCACTCTCCTTTATAACTGGCTGTCTGCTGTTACTCAATGAGTAGAAAATAAAAATACATATTTTTGCATACAGATGTTTCATTAGGCAGTGAAACATTTGGACAAGGGAATTGGGGTTTTTACCTGGGCCAGGGTCAAAAGCATGTCAGAAAAGTAGCTTTGCTTTGTGTTTCTGGATATTGTGTATTATGAGTTTATGCTTAAAACCTTTCACAGAATGATTTCTGAATTACTGGACTGTTGGACTGCAACAGGTCATTATATCTACAGGATGTGACAGTTTTTGATGCAGAACTCTGCTAATAATGGCTTCATATGGCACAAGGAGCCACATTTGAATACATTGTTTAAGCTTTTATTCCCTACACGGCATATTGGTTAATTGGTTTCCTTATAGTTATACCAGGAGGAAGCATTGCTGATTTGGAAATGTGCAGCTTTGAGAGTCATAAAAAAAAATCCTGTAAAAATGTACTGTCAGAGCTAATTATGCGTTTTTGGAAGATGGTATCCCATTAGAATTCCTTTGTTCAAACACATTCTCAGTGTGTTTGTGAGTGTTATTAAAGCCACAGGAAGGATTTAGAAATGTTATTTCCCCCACTGAGAGGAGAGCTAGCAGTATGTGGTAGTGTGATTATTTCTCTAAGAGTAAAACCAAACTGGATTTTAGCCTCTGACAGGAAAAAAAAAATATATTTTCTCGTTTTCTACAGTGAATGTGACTTTACCACTGTGCTACAAATGGCAGCATACAATTGCAGTGGATATTTACAGCTGTGGTGGCATATAAAGGCTACTTCTGCACAATAATTGCCTATTGAAGGAGAAAATAATTTGTAAAGAAGGCTTAAAGAGACTGAGCATCATTAAAAACTGGTAAATTACTGTGTCCCAGGAAGGAAAGGGTGTAGGAAAGTCTGATCTGCTACTTACGCTGGATGTTGTTATGGAAACAGAAGAAAATGTCTAAAATACCCTGCTAAGAGACAAGTAGGACCAGAGAAAGGTGCTGTCAGCGGGGTTTGACTCACTGTTGCAGGTTCAAGCCCAGGTGGTCACCAGTGTCAGTGCTGAGGCATCCAGCCCCCTGCCCAAAGCCAACACCCTTGGGACCGTATTTTCTCCCGTAACAGGTTTTGCAGTAGATTTCGGATTCGTGAGCTGCCACTGTGGTGCTGTCCAGAGCTTTCCTGCAGGCCACTGGATACAGGCAGAGAGAGGCATCTATCAACATTTGTGTTTTCAAAGTTGAATTCATGTGATTCAGAGTAGTTACGTTTAGTGGTTATGTTTTGTTTACCTTTAAAAATATAGGAAAAGGAGTTGGTCAGTGTAAAACTTGACTGGGCTGTTCCTAAAATAGGTGTGTGCACACAACATGTTCCTCTTTTGCCTCTCTGAAGTTATACTGTAGCCCCAGGGAAATAATTGGCTAGATCTGTGATGTTAAGATGGATTCGAGATAACCATCCTAAACTCCCAAACCTTAAAAAAGGGGGGAAAGGAGATTGCAGGGGTGTTGATTCCACTGAGCATCTGGACCTTTCAAAATATTCTTTCTGAGTCTGTGGTGGCTTTCTCTGCTCAGCCCAAGCTATTTTGATGACGTTTGTTTCTAAAAGAGGCTATAATATAATACCATGTCCAGAGTCAGGTAGGATATGTTGGTTTGGGGGTTTTTTAATATTAGTTGTTTGTTCAAGCTGTGGCACCAAGGCAAAGGAAGTAAATCTCAGCTCCATTAGACTTCCTCTGGGATGACAGGAGTATGACTAAAGCCGTTCCCAAAACAGAGACCTCTTACAAGTCGTGTTTGTTACAGAGAAATACGGCTTGGCTTGGCTCACTAGGAAAGATCTGAGAGACTTTTGGACTGAAGATGCCATAGGAATGCCCAGCTTTCACCAGGGAATACAAGTTATGTCCTCTGCAGCACTACTTTAAGCCAAGCCTCAACTTGGACAGACTAGAAGCTACTGAGTGCTAACAGCTGCTTATTTGGGGATCTTGGTAAGTGAGTATCTATGTTTTGAGAAATACAAGGCACACCCAGAGCTAACTGGTGTTGCTGAGATGAGCTCCAAACGTGGCTATTTTCATGGAGTGGGCATGGAAGCTCAATTACTCTCTCACAGTTCTTTGCTTATCTGAAACCTGGTCAGTGTTTAGAGTTTAAATTCTGTTACTGGATGAGTGGATCCCCTTGGTGCTTATGCACAGAAATGGGACAATAATGAATGGAGAAAAAAACAGTAGCTACACTCCTCAGCTGCTTGTCAGCTGCTTGTTCCACTCTGGGAACTTGGTGTGAGAAAACCTCCACCCCATTGAGAGAGGAAGAAGCTCTCAATTCAGAGAGCCTGTAGAAAACCACGATTTTCTAGGATGCTAAAAAATTAATATTTCAACACTTCTTACGAAGTCAACAGTGGTTGATAGAGGCAAAAGAAAAAAAAGCTAAAGCCTTCTCTCCAGCTTCCTTTGAGCAAGTACATGTCCTGCAGAGGGCATACCAGTCATGCATGAACTGTGGATAGCTTGGAAAATCAAGTTACTTAGTTCATGTATGCACCAGAAAGGTGTGAAATACAGAAGTATTGAAAGTGGCTGGAAGTGCAAGCTCTAGAGGAGCCAGCTGAGGGCTTGATTAGTCCCTTGCCCATCTGTTTATTTTAAGTATCCTCCTGTTGGTCAAATTCATCCACCTCAGGTAATTTAAGCCAATACTGGAATCTCTGCAGCTTTAATTATAGAATACCTGGAATGGTTTGGGTTGGAAGGGACTTTAAAGATCAACCCCCTGCCACGGACAGAGACACCTTCTGCTAGACCAGACTGCATAAAGTACTACTTATGTGTACCCAGCCCTCTGCCTATCTTTGGCTTTCCTCCTCCCTGTACTGCACAGAGAGGAAAATGTTTTGCAAAGACCTTTATAGTTAATAGAGATAAAATGAAGGGCTTCTGTAAATGTGTGAATCTGATCTCCTCCTGCGACAGTCTCTTCTGCTTGGAGATAGTAATTAAGTTTGCTAAGGGAGTTAAGGGCCGATGGAAACTCTAGCAGCAGATAAAGTGTTTCTATTTCTGGTACCTCAGGGATAGAGTATCAATTCACCACAACAGATGGAGCAGAAGCCCTTGAAGTGCTATTGTTGAAATAACTTTGAGACCTGTCATCTGCCAACAGATCCTGGTCACCCTCTGGCACCGAGGAGACTCAGGTTGACAGTGTGAGATCCTGCCAAATGTCCCTCACAGCTGCAGTTTGAGTAAAACCTGACAGGGAAACAACAATCTGCAGGTAAAGAGCAGCATGGGAAGTAGAGATTGTTGGAAAGAGGTTTCTCTCTCATAATGTTTGTAGGGCAAAACTACGGAGCGAAGAGAGTGTGATTTATAGTTTAGCTTGTCTGATTCTTCCTGTGTTAACAGATTGCTTTGAATTGTTTATAATTTTGCTGAAATTGAACTCTTTGGTTGAAAACTACGGATCTGTTTTGTCTGGTCAAATATTATGTGAAATATATGATATATTTGAAATATTTTTAATATTGAAATATAGAAAAACTCAGCTAAACAGGTTAACTCTTTCCATACCTGAGGTTACATTGGGGAGGATTGGTTTCCTTCTGTCAAGAAATGAAATCCTATAATTGGTTCACAGAAAAGCCCATGAATGTGATACATGATCCTGAGGCATCCAGAGCTGCTGAATAGTGTGTGTGAATCATGGTAAAAGTAAAGCCAATTAACATACCTCTCATATGCCAGCTGGGCTTAGATGCGTCTTTACTTTTTGACCTTAAACATATTTCTTATGGGAATACTTTTTTTGGTATCTAACCTATTAATAGGTTAGCTCAGACTTACAACCACAAGGGGAAGATAAAGTAAAATAAAAAATCCACAACAAAATACACAACCAACCAACCAAAAAAAGCCACCAAAACAAACCAAACTGTTGTCAGAATGTAACATATATATATTGTTTATCATGTTTATCATGTTTATCATTTAAAAAAAATATCACTTTTACTAAGAATGAAATTTAAACTTGATAAATATTATTAACTATGTTCTGTTAGGACAGATGCTTATTTTTATTAGTTTCTCTGATATTTAGTATTAATTGTTATAAGCAGCACATGGAAGCAATAAGAAGGCACTAGTTGAGACTGAGATGTTTTCTTTTACCTTTCTGTAAGAATTGGCTGAAAGTTGTCATATAACTGAAAAGCTTTTGAAGGAATTCTTTCTTATTCTGCCTTTTAGGCATCAATTGCAGGGCACTTGGAGAAAGCCAAGTAAACTCCAGTGTGTCCTTTGAACTTGTTCTGCATTGACTGCACCATGTCAGCTAAGTGTGTTATAGCCTCATGCCTCAAATAAGAAGTCTCTTTCCATCTGGGAAAAGAGGGTGAAAAATTGGATTCAGTGGCTTCAATGGAATTCATCCTACAAAGGTACTGAATCTCAAGCATTGTCTGCAAAATAAACTCTTCATCTACTTTTAGTTCTTAGTAAATTGCCCTCCACAAAGGGCAAACAGAGCTGAATTGATACCTTCTCTCTGATTTTTTAAGTGCTAGCTCATCTGCAGAGAAAACAAGATTTCTGGAAGCCATCTGCCAAACATCACAGTGGAGTGTGGGAGGGAAAGAGCAAGTGAAAGTGAACTACATGAAATATGGGGGGGAAGAGACTAAGGTAAGTGCAGAGTGTTGGTTGGAGGTTTTGATGCCCCCAGGTTGCTGTCTTCCAGCTTTTCTGTGCGAAATGGATTAATGTAAGGACTCACTGTCAAAGTAGTCATCTCCTCTAACAGCCTAATAAGACATCCTTCTGTCTGATGAGTGTTTGTTTAGTTCTGCTGGGCTTTTTAACTTGAAGCAAACCTGTAATATGCCAAATTGTGGGACAGAGGGGAAGGGTATCTTGGAGGTGGGCCACGATGCCATGATCCTGCAGCACTTGAGTGTCCCTAACAGAAGCCATCTAATGCTTGGAAAGAGAAAAGCCAGGAGCCCAAGATGCAGATTGCTTGGGGTAAAGGGCTAGAAAACTGCCTGCAAAGTAATACAAAAGTGAATGTACTAGAATTGATGCAACATTTATACAGGACTATGGGGATGTTGTGAAGTTGAACCAGTGTAGCCCGGCTTACTGCAGAGGAAGCAGGACTTGTGGAAGCTCCTTCCATTGCACTGGATTTCCTCAGCGTGGTACACGGTCTTTTCACAGGCACCACATTTGGCTCCACCCCCCCAGTTTGGCATCCCTGTCTCTGAGAGGTAACCTAGAAAATCAAATTGCAAAGTGAATTATTTTAAACAGAACAGCTTGATTTTTTTTTAAAAAGTTATTGTATTTCCCCCCCTCTCCAGTCAATTGCTCTTGCATACTTGCAATGTACTACCCATGGGTGAAGGAGCTACCCTGGTGCTTTAGGGGCATGGACAGTCCAAATCCTCTGTCCTGTGTGACCTTCTCTTGTAAATAAGGCTATTCCTTAGCTTAGTATATTGTGATGGTAAATACGTGAAATGATTGTGAGGTGTATCAGTGAAAAAGTGCTAATACCACTGAAATTTCTTCTGGAGAAGTGGATCTAGGATTTATTTTCCATCAAATAGCCATTTACTTTTAGTCCTGCCCTCCTCTGTACCCCAGTGTAGCCTTTTCCCCTCAGTTTTTGCTTAGTGTGTGTTGATCTGGTTTTTGAGGCAAATTTTAATGGAGGCTAGCAAATACTTTGGAGCTTTACTGGAGTGAAGCAAAAGTCTGGACAGTATTTGGCATTAAATTTTCTACAGAACAGCTTCCTACCTTGACTCTCTGTTAACAGGTAGACTAGTTATACCTCTCCAAAGCAAGTGCTGCTTCATCCAGTACCCCATAAGCTGCCTTGGTCACACATTCTTTGCCAGTATGATATTTTTTTATACAATTCATACCTGGATAATTCCACCTTGAAGTTTAACAAGGGCACTTTAAGAGGACACATCAATAGAAACAAGTTGTTTGTTGCTTTTCTGAATTCCTCATGAGAATTCAGAAGGTCCCCAGCTGCAAGGTCCCTGTGCTGCACAGCCATGGCAAGGTAATAATACATAGGTTCCTAAGGTAGGTTTCTTTCTTTCTTTTTCAATTGTTTTGAAATGTAAACATAAGGGAAAAGAAGAGCAGTGGTTGCTGTTGGTTGCTGTTGCAGTGACTGTTGAAGTGACTTGGCCCAGGTCACAGGAGGGCACTGTGAGGGGCAGGAGCCCAGCTCAGGTGGCCTGATGGCTCAGTGCCCTTCCTGATGATTGTGCTGTCACACATCAGAAACAAGCCCAGCCCTCAGGCTGCCCTTCTGTTTTCTTGTTTGAGTCATCGTTTCTGGAAAGACTGGGATGTCATCTTGTCACCTGCACATCATATTATCAAGCTCCTGGCACAGGCCTTCCTTCTCCTTCTTGGAAAACCAGTCACCTTCTTATTATAGTTATTTTGAAGCCTGCTTGTGCTATTTGTGTTTGATTAAATTCACCATAAGATACTTTCAACTAAGAAAAGGGTTTTGAACACTGAATCAGGTCTGCCACCTGAGAATTTTCTTCTAAGATCAAGTGAGAGATAGAGGGGAGTTTAGAGTGTTGTAAGTCACAGTGGTGATGTCACATAAGCCAGTATTTTCAATTACTTGCATATTAGACTAATATTTTACTATATATTCACACTGGACACTAATGTCCCCTGCTTATCATCACCGTAGTGACTTCTGTTCTGTAATCTTCTGAATTTCAGAATGAAATGAACAATGTCTACATGCCAGCTCTGCAGCCTGAAGGGAATTCTTTCTGACGACTAACACCAAAAATCCTACAATGGTATAAGAATCTGTCCAGCAAAAGGAAGGTGTCATGAGAGTGTGTGCACACACTGAAGCCACAGCACTGGAGACATGGCAATGTGAGCAGGTTTTACAGTCAGTGTTTGATAACAGTGCAGGTACCAGCACATCCAAACCTCTCTGCTTTAGCACAGCAATGATTAGTATCTCTTTAACCCCGTGTAATTAAATAGTCACTATTGTGACTGGTGCCTGTGGTAGACAGCACACCTGTCATCCTCATGCAGGGTCCAGTCTCCCCTCCTCTTTGTGAGGCTGATTTGTGCTCAGCTGAACACCCTCCCCAGCTCAGTCAGCCCATCCTTTGCTGTAACACAGCAGCACCATCTCTAATCTCTTCCAGACCCTCTCAGCTCTCTTGGGAGGCTGCTCATGGACTGCTGTGGCAGTTCCAAAACAGTAATGATGCAAAAAGGAAAAGAAAACTCATCTTTCCTCTAATTCTGTTTATCTGGTGTAATGAGTAAGAAGCATAAACCTAATGTAGATGAAATAAGAAACAAAACTAATTGCATGCAAGAAACATATAGTGGATTTGATCCCTCTCACTCAGTGAAGCCTTTACTGAACAGCACTGCTAAATTCTTTTTTCATTTATTTTAAATGTGAGATAAAGGCACAGAGAGAAATCTTTCATGTAAATAGAATCTTATTCCACCATTCTATATTTTCTTCTATTTTTAAAGTACTTTCATGTTGGTGCCATTTTCTCTTATGAAAATAGTTCAAGTGATGCTTCAAGCATTTTAAAAGAAGGAAGAGAGACTGGGCATAACAATCAGTTTTGTGACACTTTCTTGAAAATTAAAATGAGATTTTTGTGTTCCCTTTCAAATCAGGTTGCCAGTGGAATCCCTTCCCAGCTGAGGCAGCACTGGTAGCTGCCAGGGAGGTTTGTACCTCTGGTCTCTGTAAAGCTATTTGTGCTGTGTTAGTTCCCCTCAAAGGCACACCAAGAATCTCTGTCTTTGGCAATGGGATGGTTGTTGGAAAGTAGCTCCAATTACATCATTAGCTGAAGGGGGGAAAATAATCTCTTAAAAAGTCTGATAATGTGTGATAGTGAACCTTGTGCTGTCAGGGGCCATGGTTAGAGCTCTCAGAAGAACCATTGTCCCTGAGGCTAATTATAGTAACATGACTGGGCATGCATACACATTTTCCATGTTGTCTTGGCATCACCTGATGGGAAGCTGTAGGAGGAAGAAGAAAGTCACAGTAAAACTACAAGGATGCCAGGGGAAGAACAGCCATGTGTGCCACGATGTCTGTGCTGGCTGGAGTAACAGCTGGGTGAGGTACCAGGGCAGGTCCTGTCCTTGCTTTGATCATCTCTCTGGACACTGAACTGCAGTGCCATCCCTGTGGATGGTGCCTGTGCAAATAAAGTCCACAAGGTACATGGCATTCAGTGTTTTCTACTTGTCTAAATTATAAATGGTGGATAAATCTCCATCTTCACAATGTGCAAATAGAACTCAGTCTCCCACTTATCAGAAAAAAATATGCCCAAAATCTTCACTTCACATAATTTCATTAGATGTCAGTATCTAAATCCCCTTGAAATTCCCTGAATTTAGTTGTCTTAATCTGATTAACTTGCAGTGTCTGCTCACCACATATTCTGCTTATATTCTGGTGATCTAGTGGGAAGTAGAGTGGACTCATCCTAAGTGTAATAAATGTGTTTATTTATTATTAAATAAACTTTTGAGTGTTAGTACTGCAACACGTAGGCACTCACGGTACTGTCAAACTGGAAGAGTGTTCTTGAACTTGCTCTGTTACTATTCAGCAGCTTGTATTGTTCCTCAAAATGCAGTTACTATATGGAGTAGAATTTATACACAAGATATGCAGCCAGGGATACGTGCCTCCCGTTATTTAGAGCTTATATCACAGCTGTATGGGCCAGACTTGGAGCAAGGGAGCCTTTGAAGTGTTTGTGTGCTCTGCACAGGCATGAAAACATTGTGAGCCGTCTTCTTTTGGGCTGTTAGTCATACTGTACAAATCTAGGTGTCACATCACTGTCACAGAGTGTCTTACTCTAATCAAAGTACTATTGATAAGAATATAACCCCAAAATATATTTAGATCCACTGATCTCAGTGGGTGGTGGACACAGTACTGGCCTGATGCAGTTGTGTAGAGGAGTAAAATGCAGTGCAAGTGCCAGACAGAGCTGCAGGTGAAAAAAGTCTTGAAAGTAGTTTTGGTGCTTCCATTCTAAACACAAGGTTTTCCCTTTTACATGCTCATGTATTTGACAGTCTGGAGCTCAGGCCTTATCTGAATGGGCTGCAGAAGTTGTGTACTATGTGGCTGGGAGGATTATCTCTGGTGCCACATATGCTACAGGATGGCTTTGAAGGGGATAAACAGAATGGGAAATATTGGTCTTTGTGAGCACTGGTAGCAGAATTGCTGAATGGGGACTGGTGGGTAGGATATGCCTTCCATCTCTCTCCATTTTAGTCTCAGCTACATGCTTGGTCTAGACTCAAAGAATACCAATGCCTTACCTAATGAATAAGCAGTAATGGTATCAAATCCAAATATCCCTGTCTACACTGAAATACAAGTATTAAGGCTGCATTTGAAATTCTTTTCCCCACTGAAGTCTGTGGGAGATGCCAATGCAGCAGGACTTCACTCTGGTATCTAATCACAGCTTTGCTGTGACCTGTCCTGTGACCACCAGTGACTCATTTGACATCCTCAGTGCTATGCCCCCACGAGCACTGGGGGGGGAACGATATATCTCTTCCTTTATACAGTAGCAATAAAATGCTGCTCTAGTTTCTCTCTTTCACTGCAACTAACACTCATGGGGAGGTTTTATCTCTCTCTGTTGGTCTGCACAGTTCCTGCCACTGCATCTCGAACAGCCTGAAGGTGTTTCTGTCGAAATCCCATCCCTTGCAGAATGAGTTCTCTCTCAGCAGGACAGATTCACAACAGAGGAAACATTTGTGTTTGAAAGTTGAGCTCTTTTAATGAAGATGTGGTATTGTTTATACTCTTATTTCTTCTGATTCATTCAGTGGACTTTGGATACAGGTAAATTTTAAGTTTATTAGTTAGGTGTCATACCTTGAGCTTCCACCATGATCTCATAACAATTAGCATTTTCCCTTCATTTCTGCAGTAAAGCAACACATAGAAATCAAGGGGTGGGAATTCCGACACTGACACCAGAAAGTAAAAATTGATTTTGCATTGACACTGGTCACCCTAAGTTACACACTCCTTTTGAAACAAAAGATTTTAACTGGCATGATATGAGGCATGTGTTGTGTGTAGCTGATAGTTTCCCATTGCTTTCATCTCTGTTCTTCCAAATTATCTATTGTTTTCTAGCATAGGGATGCCACATTTCTTTTGAAACTTCCTTGATGTACAATTTTGCAGAAATTTAAGTTTGCATCTCCAAAAAATATGGTATCCTGACAAGGTACTTCATTCATCCTACGAGTAGGACAAGGTACTTCATTCTGACTTAAAAACCAGTGACACCCCACACTCACATATTTGTAAATATGTGCTTAGAGTTCAGTTTGATCCATGTGGCTGTGGAAAGCTGCATCCTGCTGTACAAATGTCCCATTCCTTTTTTCAGACCTAATCCTGGGCTATCAGCTTTCACTTTTCATTCTATGAGATCCTTCTCTAAATCCTTTTCTGTGCACTAAGTCTTTTAAGTGCCAAGTAAAGCTATTACCTACTTTGAAATAGCACTGTGATGATTAAGACACAGAATTATTTTATCCACATACAAGCCCTATTCTTTGAAAAGCTTTCTACCTAAGGGTAAAATTATTTCAAAGGAAAAACATGTATTTATTTATTTGAATTATTGGGGCTTTTCTGAAGACTTGACCAATCACACTCTCTTGTAATGCTTGAGTGATGATGTGGGAATAATTCTTTCATCCTGCATCCAGTTATCTAGCCATTTTCTTCCAAGTCTGCATAGAAATTTTCTTCCTATTTGATATAAAACCAGCTGGTCACTAATATTAAATATTTTGAAGTTTTGGGGGATGCTGTTTTTGTTTTTTTACTTCTAAAATCCTATTAACTGAGAAATCATGAAAGCACCCAAATTTATATGCTTTGTACATATGCTTTTTAAAATCGTTTGTGGAAAAATAATTCGGTAGCTTTGAAACACAATTTTTAAGCACTTCTGAAACTTCTGTTATCCAGCCTTTCATAGTCAAAATGAGTGTCTGTAACGAGGATCCCCACAACTCTGTTCTTGCAACACCAGTAGCTACTCCCCAGGCTGAAAAGTCCAGAAGAATCTCTTATGAGGTGGCTACTCCAAACCTAAAATACTGCTCTCAGCTCTGCAGGAATCATGTTTCTGTACTATGCCTGCACATTTTTCTTTGTTAAGCAACCACCTATTAGGAAAAAATTGCCCAAACCCTTGTATCAGACAGTCTTGGCAGAACCCCCTGGGCACAACTTACCAGAGGTGCTTGGAGTGTCTCCTCTTCCCTTCGGTCTCCAAGAGCTGGAACAGGAGGGGCCCTGCCCTCCTTAAATGCAGTGACCACCACTGTCAGCCCTATAAGCTGGGAGGGGAGGGGAATGAGAGTTTCAGGGATCTGAGCAATGCCATTGCTATCACCAAGCTGAAAATAACCTCTGACAAAAGCCTGGCATTTTGTTCCCCCATGTCCACTTGTGAGTAGGTGGACAACAATGCAGCCCCTTGGATTACACCTAAAGGACATTCCTGACTGCAGCCTAACAGATCAGAAATAAAGATTAAAGTTTTATAGTTACTCTCCTGCATTGCTTAAATGTGAATCATGAAATAACAGTCCTTTGAAATGAGGATTTAGTTATTAATGGTCACATTGCCAATATTAAATTGTTAAAAATAATAATAAATCAAAACCTGTTTGCAGCACCCCCTGGAACACAACATTTGTAACCCAAAAAGCATTTAATTCTGTAGTTCACGATTTGATAGATACAACTAGTTTGCCTTCTAGGATACAGGGAATTATGCTTTTCGCTGTAATCTTTCATTTTTTTACTGTTTTTAGGCATTAAGATGGTTTGTTAATATGTATAATATTTAGTCTGTCTGATAACTGCAGTTATATTTGCCATGCCTGATCAGTCCCTTGGAAATGGATGATGCTACAGATGTGTTAGAGAGGTGAGCAATAAAGTATGAAGCACTTA